TTTAGGGTTTAGGGTTTTAGGATGTAAGCTTTAGGGTTTGGGGTAAGTTTGTTCTACTGAGACTAACACAATTGCGGACCCAATATGCAGGTATACGTATCCTGTTGTTCAAAGTGTGTGACTGTTGGTTCCTCAGACCGGCAGGGCAATAAGGAGTACACTCACTGTTCCTATAGATTAGGTATCCCCAAGCCCCAAACCCTCACCCTAAACCCTGAAGGTCATGCAAAAGTGTACAAGTCAGCCGAAGGGTTCATCAGTTCTTCCTAACCCTAAACCCTAAACCCTAAACCCCTAAACCCTAAACGTGCCCTACTGAAGATACTGAAGAACTGAAGCGCAAGCCAGTTCCCTAAGCCTGAAACCTTCCTGAGGCGACAGTTTTGTTATTCCCTTACCCTCTAAGGACTCATATTTTAAGGCTTTTGGGCCCAAAGACCCTATTATAGAAGGCTTTTGGGCTATTTTGATGCTAAGCGATTGTGTAAACTACCGACTCCTATATCCCTTAAATTAAGGTAATATACCTTAAATAATAGTAGGATTCCTTATATGATTTAAGGTATATTCCTTGATTAAAGGGATATTGGAGTCTCTGGGAAACTACCTAGACGCCAAGCCCTAAACCCTAAACCCTAAACCCTAAACCCCAAAACCCCTAAACCCTAAACCCTAAACCCTAAACCCCAGGAAGACCGATCCCTTCAACCATATGCCATGCTTTGGCTCGCCGTTTAGCGACTCAGCGGCGACCAGGATCGTATGCCAGGTTGGTTCGGGGTTCAGGTTCTAGGTTCCTGAGTAGTACCCTTTTGCCCTTTTTCTTTTAGGGTCCCCTTAGGAAAACCGAATAGTAGGAAAAAGGGTACCCTTATTATAAAGGGGCTACTCAGAAACCTAGGGTTTTAGGGTTTAGGGGTCTAGCGTCTAGGGCGTTACCCCTAAACCCTAAACCCAAAAGGGTGTTAGGTTTTAGGGGTCGGTTTTAGGCCAGGCTTCTTATTGGCTTGTGGTTCCGGATGAGGGGTTCAGCACGTTGGCTTTCTCGTTTTCCGGTGGAAGGTGGGGGGGTTTAGGGCTTAGGGTTTAGAGGGGTGTCGTCATGAGAAGGCTTTGGCAGCAAACATTGTACCCAAATGGTAGATGCCCCCCAAAGTACCTCTCTCTCTCTATATAAATAAAAAAAAATATATATATATATATATATTTATTTATTTATGGACTACTTTACGGCCAGAGTACACTATTTGGGCACATGAACCCTTAAACCCTAAACAGAACCCGTATCGAACCCTTAGACTAGACCCTTAAATTAAAGGAACCTTTAAAGGAAAACTTATACTGTTTGGGTCCATGAACCCTTAAACCCTAAACCCTATAGAACCCTTATCGAACCCGAATACTAGACCCTTAAATTCAAGGAACCCTCAAAGGAACCCTTATAATCTAGGACATTTTCAGGTGGGTAGTTATCGTTAGAAGAGCCTTAAAGCAGGTCTATATACCTTCGGGAATCCTTATAGAAGCCTTATATACCCTAAACTCCCTACCTGTAGTTCCCTAAACCCTAAACCCTAAACTCCCTGCCTGTAGCTTCGTTGATCTAAGGGTAATTTGGGTCCATGGACCCCTTAAACCCAAAACCCTAAATCCTAGGGTACTTGGGTCCATGGACCCCTTAGGACCTAAACCTAAACCCTAATTCCTAACCCCAAGGGTCCCTTTAAGGGCCCCTCCTTTACTCCTAATTTGGGTCCATGGACCCCTTAAACCCTAATCGCTAAACCCTAAACCCTGAACCCTGAACCCTAAACCCTGAACCCTAAACCCTAAACCCTAAACCTTAAACCCTAAACCCTAAACCCTAGGGTATTTGGGTCCATGGACCCCCGTAGGGGTGAAGAGCTGTGAAGGCTGCACCTTCCATCAGAGCATCGAGGCGCGCGCTTGGACGCTGCAGTCGTTTTGGGGACTTTAAGACGCTAAACCCTAAACCCTAAACCCTAATCCCTAAAGCCTAAAGCCCTAAAGCCCTAAACCCTAAACCCTAAACCCTAACCCTAAACCCTAAACCCTAAACCCTAACCCTAACCCCAAGGGTCCAAAAGGACCCAATAATTAGGTACCGAAGACTGTCAGGGTTTAGTGTTCAAGACCCTACTTAGAGGATCATGGGACTTAGTAAGTAAGGTCATAAGGACCTTACTGGGTGTTATAAGTAATTGTAGGAAAAGTTACCTTATTTTTAACCCTAGTTACTACGTCCCGTGATCTTTTAAGCAAGGGTCCTAAACCCTAAACCCTAAACCCTAAACCCTTTAGGGTTTAGGGTTTAGGGCCAAACACCGCAGGTGAGGTCCCCAAACACCACGGGTTACTCTTGGGCTGACTAGGTAACCTTTGACCTTT